AGCACACTCATTTGGCCCTAATGGTCCTTTTTTGGGTTTCGTAGTGGCTTGAGGCTAATAAGGAGGTGGGGTCGATAACAAGGGAGGCTTGGCAGGAGCCAAGAAGACAGAAGGAGGCAGAGTCTGACTGGCCGTCTTAAGACGGGTTTCCTCAGAGAGGAGCTCAAGAACAATAGCATCCACAGAAGGAAAAAGAGATCGGTGAAGGATGCCACCTTTGATAGCCTCATACTGAGGGGATAGAGCCGTTAAGAGCTGTACTAAATGACCCTGCTCCCGAAACTCAATATAAGTGTCCAGTATCTTAAGACTAGGTGGTTCCATAAGAGCCAACTAATCCCAGAGACCGGTCATCTCAATATAGAAGTCTTGAATAGTTTGATCCTGCTGACGAGCACTCTGAATAGTTGTTTCCAACTCATATTGCTTGGCAAAGTCGGACTGTTGATAAACACCTAGTAAATAATCCCACACTTCTTTGGCGGCAGTATTGTACTTGGAAAACATCATTCCAATATGGTCATCCATAGAATTATGAAACCAGGTCAGAACTTGGGCATTATCACAATCCCAAGTGTCACAGGAAGACAAATACCCTTCCGCCTTCGAGTCCGATAGACAAGGAACAGAACCAGAAACATAGCCCCATTTTTTTTTACCAAGATGAAAATTCTTCATGACACTAGCCTAATAGGCATAATTGCCACCAGTGAGTTTACATTTGATGGCTTGGATTTTAGTATCTGACATTGTAATAAAACAAAGTTTGTAATAAACAGACAAGTATGGGGCTTGACTGCAATATTCCTTGAAATAGGGTTTTAAATAGAAATACCCAAGTTGAAGCACAGAGATCACGAAACACACACACACACACACACACACACACACACAAAGATAGACTAAAGCTGAGATCGATCTTCAAACGGAGCTCGCGGAGATCTCAAACAGAGATTGTGAAGCACAGAGGTAGATGAACTAGATTTAACCAGAGAGCGGAAATAGATGGCTACGAATCAAATCAAGCAGAGATCGCAAGGAAGAGAGGGCCTTCGTGAGACAATCCAGACGACCTAGAGAGGGCTAGGGTTTCAAACCTTCGCGAGTCTGGAGAGAGAAAATTCATGACTCCGATGGTGATATGCAAAACAGCTAGCGTTTCGAACCTAGCTCTGATACCATATGAGATTTCTGAACGAAAACTGTATTTTAGATTGAATTGAACAAAGAATACATACATCACTCACTTATATAGAACACTAAATCCTTATCCTAAACAAATACATCACTAATATAGTGTTCTATTAGATATAGAACACTAGCACTAATTCCTAATCCTAAAAGGAAAAGGAAAAGGAAAACGGAGAACAATGTTCTCACAGTTGACAGTTGTTTTTTTTGTTAATCATTAGAGACACTGCTTACTGGGTCGACATTTCAAGATTTGAACTGATCACCATAGCTTCTAATATCTACTAGAGCAGAAGATTTCCACTTTGACGCAGCATAAATGGTTAACTAAGTAGTTGGGTTATGATTACGAAATTTTGTATCGCAGTGGCGTGAGTAATAAGGTTGCTAATGCATTATCTCATATGGACGTCATGGGGGGTACTTTGGCTGCTATTTTGGTAGTAATTTCTAACTGGTTGCAGCAACTAAAGCAGGTTTGGGCAACTTATTCTTCAGTAGTAGATATCATTCTGCTACTTGAACACACACCTGATGCGTGTCTTGGGTATGTTTGGCAAGGAGGTGTTCTCATTTATAAGGGTTGGTTAATGGTTGGCTCTTCGGCGGTTTTGAAAGACCAAATTTTAAGGGAAGTGCATTGTAGTCCAGAAGGGGACATTCTGGCTGAGAACGGACATATTCTTGCCTTAAAAGATCTTTCTATTGAGAAGGAATGAGATGTGATCTTCACCAATTTATTTCTGAATGTGACATTTGTCAGCGATGTAAACCTAAAAATGTGGCCTCACCTGAGTTATTACAACCTTTGCCTATTCCTGAGTAGGCATGTTTTGATGTTTTAATGGATTTCATTGAAGTTTTGCCACATTCGTTTGGCAAAAATGCCATGTTTGTGGTGGTGGACAAATTTAGTAAATATGCCAATTTCTTGCCCATTACACATCCTTATACTGCTGCTGACATTGCGTGAGTTTATTTGGATAATGTGTTTAAACTCCATGGATTGCCTTCTAATATAGTTTTTGATAGGTATCCTGTCTTCACCAGTCAATTTTGGAAAGAGTTTTTAAGTTGCACAACGTTATGCTTCGGCACAACATATCATCCTCAAACGGATGGTCAACCTGAATTGGTTAATCGATGTTTGGAAGTTTTTTTTGCGATATATGATAGGTGTTAAGCCTAAGTTGTGGTCTAAGTGGCTTTCCTTGGCTGAATGGTGGTATAACACCACTTATCATTCCTCCACTCACGTTACCCCGTATCAAATTGTGTATGGGAAACCCCTCCATCCATTTTGCAATATGTTCCTGGCTCTTCTAAAGTGGCTGTTATGGATTAATGGAACAATGATTAGGATGCCATGCTTGGGGTCCTAAAGGACCATTTGTCTGATGCTCAACATTGGATGAAACAACTAGCTGATGGCCACCAAACAGAAAAGGGAATCTCTAGTGGGAGATTGGGTTTATCTCAAATTGCAACCATATTCGTCGAAATTTCAAGCTTGCCCATAAGCTTTATGGTCCATTTCGGGTGGTGGAAAAAGTTTCCCACATTTCAACCTTGAGGTCAAGGTTTGTCTGAAGGAGAATGGGAATTACAGGTGGAAAAAACTTTGGAACTGAGCACGTGATCAAGACTAGCAGAAACAAAATTAATTAGAGTTATTATAGGTAGGGGTGGGCGCGGGTCGGTTGCGGCCACGGAACCTCCAATCCGCCATTCGTCTGCCAGATTGGCGGATTGGAGAAAATCAATCCGTATCCGTCCGCCAATCCGGCGGATGTCGATTGAGCGAATTGGCAGTTTGGCAGATGGATGCGAATCGGTTTGGCAGTTTAAAATTTTATAAATTTTCAACATAATTCAACTTGTGCACTTCCTCAAAAAAAGAAGAAGAAAGTATTACAATTAATGACTTAAAAAAATATTACAATCACTGCATGCCTCATCCAAAGCAAGAAAGTTTGAAACTTTAGAATATCACAATCACTGCATGCTTCATCCGCATACTACAATCACAACATGCCACATTCACATAAAGTATTACAATCTGTGGTTCTTAAAATATAAAAATAATTCAAACCACCAAAACCATGAACAGAGCAATAGTAGAGATTGTATATCTCTGCATTGTTACATCTATATCTGTTTTTGAAAACAAAAACCAATCAGCATATATCATATTTTCTATTTATTAGTTTTAGAGATAGATTTAAAAACCAAAAGATATAGATAAATAATACGTGTATTTTTTTCAATTCAAAAAAGATATTCAAGTTGAAAACTTTTTTTTAACAGAATATTTAAACTTTTTTTTTTAATTGAAAACACAAACAGAATATTTAAACAAACTGAAAACACAAAGTCTTATAAATTACTAAGGGTGTTCGCGGTTTGGCGGTTCGGTTGCAACCAAAGGAATCTCAAATCCGCCATCTGTTCGCTAGATTGGCGGATTGGAGAAAATCAATCCGCAACCGTCCGCTCGTCATTACGCATCCGTCCAAAATGCGGCGGATCGGTTGGGTTGGGTTGGGTTGGGTTGGTTTTGGCGGATCGGTATATCCGCTACTCACCCCTAATTATAGGGTCTGTTAAGACAGTGTTATATTGGAGCAATTAGTTTCTTAGAAGTAGTTAAGCGTTGTTTGGGGTACTTTAAAAAAATAAAAAAGTTACTATTCTATTTAAGTCACATCACCTCTCTACCACATCACTTCAAATCCAACTTATACCCAACTTATATTTCACAAAAAGTCAAAAAGTATACTTATTTAAATTATCTCAAACCACCTCAGTATGGCTAATAGGAGAAAGTATAAAGTATGTTAGAATTGTATTAGAAAGGGGGAATTTTTGTATGGAACATTTCTTCATATTGTCGATCTAAGTTTACCATTTATCTCTTTCTTGTTCTCTCTTTTCTCTCTACTGTTACTTTCTTTTAAGGGGTTGTTTGTGATGACCTAAATAAGTGCACTTTTTATCTTTTTACGAAAAGATATACAGAAAAATAGAGAGATGATGTGATAGAAAAAAGATAAAAAGATAAAAAATGTGTACTCATTTTGGGTTGCCAAGCTTGACCTAAGTCAATTTCTTAAATTGTATCAAGACAAAAAAAATTAAAATAATTTATAAAATAAAATGTTACATTCTAAATATCATTGAATCATTTTTTCTCTCATAATTATCCATTCAACTACAAAAATATTCATAAATCATCTCACATATTTTTTTTTATCTTATAAAATAATGAAATAATCAAAAAATTAGCAAAAATAATCAACATTCCAAACAACAGCTTAGCATAGATAAAATAGATATCCTACTCCACGATACGAGATTATTTCTCAATCATTACCCTTCTTTACTATTATTGCTTGCGATCAGCAAAACAGCTCTATTACGGTTTCGTTTCCAATATCTTTCGTCAAAAAGAAATGAAACAAATCTTAATTTATCCTATTTTGAAGTATCTGTGATTTACCTCTGACATATAAAAATAATTATATAATTCTTTTATAATTTGTAAATTAAAGTGTAATGTTAGGCTGGTTAACGATTTAATGAAAAAAATTAAAATATTCTTATACTTTTATTATTTATTTAAAGATGAAGTATATTTTAACCTCTTATATTTTATATTTATTTTTTAAAATTTTAAAACAAATATATAACCCTCCTCTACTGTGTATTTCACATTTATTGTGTATTTCATATTTATTATTAAATTGAACGGAATATTAACGGAGCAGTTCAAACTACAAATACAACTGGCATGTGATATTTTCTAAACCACAGAAGTTTTGCCCATAGAAATAAGCACAAAAGAAAAAAAAGAAAAATACCCGGTTCTTCTTCATTCTTCGGACACTTTGAGCCCTAACACTCTCTCTCTCTCTCTCTCTCTCTCTCTCTCTCTCTCTCTCTTGCTGATCGGTGATAGATAGCGTCGATAAGCACACACAGAGAGGATGGGGAGAGGAAAGTTCAAGGGCAAGCCAACTGGTCGACGCCAGTTCTCCACACCCGAAGAGATGAGTATGCCTCTCTCTCTCTCTCGCTCTCTCTCTCATTCGTATTTGTGTGCATGGTTTGTTTTTCGATTCGTTTCATTGCTAGATCTGGATTGGTTAAATTTGTGGTGTTTATGTAGATTAGTGGGACTAATTTCATGGTTGTACTTTTTTATTTTATTTTTGTGTGGTTATCTAATCACAAAAAATCTAGGTTTAGAAAATATCACAAAAAATCTAGAAGGTGGAACACAAAAAATCTAGAAGGTGGTTATTTTAATGGCTCAATTGTGTTTCATGGTTGCGCTAGACTAGTGGGACTAATTTGTGGTGTTCAGTTTGTGTTTCATGGTTGAATTTGCTGATTTTGATTTTTGTTTTCTGTTTTAATTACTGCAAAAGTAGATTTTGGTGGTGAATGTTGAGGCAATTATCTATAACAATTGAAATCTTAAAGTGAGGGATTGGAAGGATGTTGATGTGTTTGATTATCAAGCGCTTTGTTGCATGAGTCATTGCTTTAATATAACATAGACTGAACAAGTATTTATTATTTTATTTTTGGGACAATTTGGTATTTAATTTAGGCATGGAACACAAAAAATCTAGCGCAACTTATCTAATCATATCACTATTTTTAATGATATGTAGTACATTGAGTTATGTATATACAACCAATAAAGACAATAAAGATAGTGGAGTTCACATCAAATCAAACTCTGAATACTATGCATGGCAACCAACCAAATTTCCTTAACCCGATCGGGCATTAATATTATTATTTGATAACTACAAGGTGGATAGCCAAAATGCTTATAGGTACCCATGACTGTCACACAGTGCCAAGGGAGGTGTTTTTGCCTTATCCTTTTCTTTATAGAGTGCTTGGTGGTTAGTAGAAAACTGCAACAATGCTAGAGACAGAATATTAGATTTGGGATCAGTTGGCATACATAAATCTAGGAAAAATGGCTCACAATACTACATTTGAAGCTTCCATCTATATGTGATTGGAAAAGAAAATGCCAGACTTGATGCCTCAATTCCTTCCTCATCTCCTAATTAGATGGCTTACTGAAGAGTTCCCTTTCTCAGCAAATAGTGAGGAGCAGGGAGCAGCACTCTTTCTCTTGATGTTCTCTGCATGACTCACCACATGTGCGCTGGTCTCTCAAGAAGGTATCAATCCTTGAACTGGCCATCCCATCCAATCACATGATAATGAAAAGAAAAAAAAATGCAGTGCACCGGATTCTTGGTGCTCCTTATGTAATGACATGCCTCACCAAAAAACCGGAATTTCTCAATAACTTATTCTAATTTAGGTGTCTTTAATTGGTTTTCCATGCAAAACCCACAATCCAAAAATACCATCTAACTTAGAGTAGAGCATAGTCTTCATGTTGACTAGCAAATTGATATAAATGGCTAACATGTGTATGTACAAAATTGCAGACATAGTTGAAGAGAACTATAATGACAAATTAGAGGAACAAAAAAGAATTTCTTTTCCCCAGTTGTATCTATGTAGATTTGTACTTGCTAGTTTTTTGAGTTCTTTATAATATGTACATTTTTCTTTAGGTTGAAATTCTCTCTCTCTCTCTCTCTCTCTCTCTCTCTCTGAATTTTTGTGTGTGTGTGTGTGTGGTTACCTAAGAAGTACAAACAGTTCAAAGATGGTGGCACATTGTCTGACAATCAGTTGGACTCTTTTTGACATGTGTTGCACACTTGTCCAAAAGTGTCTTATTATGTTTCTTTTTATACTTTTAGACCCAAATGCACATTAGACATTTGGGGGACACACGTGTCCATCACTTAAGCACACATAAAATTAACTAGTAGCAAGTGCACACGCAATATATGTAGTTTAGGAATGAAGAAGATGAATAGTTAACATTTTGAGGATTTGAATAAGTTTTTTCACAGAGGCAGTTTTAAAACTGTCGTGGCCATTTTTAGAAAAGAAAAACATGTGACATCTACACCAAGTCTGGTGTAGGCTTTATATAATTATAGATTGTAGCGAGTATAGATTATAAGTTTGAATAAATTAACTTATGAAACAATGATGAAAAAAAAACAATATAGATTTATAGCAATTAATGTTTTGTTGCTTTTTAAATTTTTGAATGGTATATTCATATACAATGAAGCACGGGTACTCCATTTTTGGTGCTGTACGAGTACCGGGTACGTACCAGGTACGGGTACGCGTACCGGTACCGCGGCACGCGTACCGGTACCGCGGCACGCGTACCGGGTACCGCCAAAGGGGGTCCGGTATGTTTGGTACATTTGGATACACCGTGGGTACGGAGGGGTACGCCGTGGTACGTTTCGGGTACGCTGGGCAAAAAATCAAATTGCAAAGAAATTCAGGGCACCGAAGCAATTTTTTTATGCTCTTTATTAAAAAAAAACCAAAAATAGAGGGTTATTTTGTAATATTAAAAATATATACAAACCTGGTTTATCGGGGCATCATAATCTTCAATCTCAGTTCTTCCTTCGAATCCTCATCCCTGCCAGCGAGTTCCTTGAGAGCAAGATGGAGAAAGCTGACTAAGGGCTTAGGGGTCTCGGAGGGTTTGGAGTGAAAGATTTCGAGGGTGAGGAGGGAGCCGTGGAAAGGGAGGGAAAGGGGGAGGACGAAGTGCTCGTTCCAGACGGGACGGGTGGAGCCAAAGTCGTCGGACTTGGTGGCCAGACGGCGATCTGAATCCACCTAGAAGATCGCGTAGGGCTTCAAATCGTCGGACTTCTTGCAATTTCTGCTGGTGGGTTGGGTTGATTTGCTGTGTGAGAGAGAGAGAGAGAGAATGGTTCGGTGCTGCAATTGTCTTCGTTGGAAGGGGAAACTGGTGCTGCAATTCTCTTTCTTTTATTTACACCCTCTCTCTCTCTCTCTCTCTCTCTCTCTCTCTCTTTGTCTATACAATATAATATAATTATGCACTGACTTATCCTTTTGAATACACTAAGTCAGCACCACACACTGACTTATAATCCTATAATCCTTATAATCCTATGAATATGTGTATTTTTATTTTTCTTTCCTTTTATAACAAATTAGTGTCACTGACTTATCCATTTGAAGGGAAAAAAAAATTATAAAAAAAGTAATAATAATTTAGAATTTTATTTTAATAATAAATCAAACTTTTAACTTTTAATTATATTAATTTTAATTTTTAATTTTTAAAATGATATTAGTTATGACCATTTTTGTAGTCCTCTTTTTAGTTTTGATATTAAATTTTAATTTGTAGGTTAGATCTTTAACCACAATTATAAAAATAAAAATAAAAATAAAAATTATCGACGTACCGCAGCCGTACCCGTATCATACTTTTTTTGAATTTTGACGTATCGACGTATTCGTACTCGCACCTGTACCGTACTCGTACCCGCACCCGTGCTTCATAGTTCATATATATGATATATAATAAATATTTGAAATTATATTATATATTTTGTGTGCGTGCCCATGTGGTGTCCTACATTTTTGTTTTGAAAATTGGCTTGTCTGTATTGTGTCATGTGTCCCTGTTCGTGCTTCTTAGGCGGTTATAGGAAATGGGTTAATTTGGTTTTGGTTTGGTTTAATTTTACTTTATTTTTATTATTTGTTCTTCTTTTTTGGTGGTGGTGGTGGTGGTGGTTATTGTCTAAGATTCAGAGTGTTGACAACACTTGTGACAATAGCTAGAGTTAAGTATTGGCTGACATTTCATTTGTTTTGTTTTGTTTTGTTTTGTTTTTTTTTTTTTTTATGACTTGAATGATTACAGTTGCTGGTACGTCTGCTCGTCCTCGTACATTTAAACAGGTAGATCTCTTGGCCTTAATTTCTTGCACATGCAATCATTTGTAATTATTGGCGTCTCATTGAAACTAAATTGATTTTTTTTGTCTTTTTTTACATAGCATGTGAAAATGGAAATCCGTCATAACTAAGTGGGTTCACTTCGGAAATTAGCCATTTTTGTTAAAATGACCAGGGAAACTTAGCATGGTGTTTCAAAAAGCCCAAAGATATTCTGGCTACTATAATTTCTGATGTGTGGATATGGACAGAATGCTAGATCTTGACATTGAAATGTGGTGTGGGACACGGCAATTCTCCAAAATCAACATGAGATCATGAGTGTTTATAGTCTATTTTTGTATATGTATGTTATTTATTTTTAAAGTGTGTTTGTGCATGTAGAGGGGGCATAGGAATTTGGCCAGTGACTCTATAACTACATGATCGGTGAATGAAAAGGCATTACACCTTTTGAATTATGAAAGTGGAAAAAGGAGTCATGTTGACTGGTCTACCGCATGGCCAATGTACATTACAAGAATTGTCCTTCATGTGATAGCTCACAGTTTTAGTAGTTAATTGTGGTTTTTGGTGGTCATTGACGTTAACTTTTTGCTTTGTAGTTCTAGGATACTGAGTGCATTGGGATCCTATGTTTCATCCATAGTTATTTTGTTTAATTTATTTGATGTTGTTAGGTAGAAGCTGAACAGGACGAAGAGGAGAGATCTGAAGAAGAATCAGAAGAGGAGTCCGATGAAGAACCTGAAGTGCGTAAATTTGGACACACTTCTCTATAAAATACTTCCTTTTATTTTAGATTGCGTTTAGAATTGGATTTTGTCTTCCTTGCTTTGTGGAATGACTAGTCTGTTTAAATCAGCTTGCCTTTTTCTTGCAAATATTGTTAACAGAAGCGCAAAGGCAACCAAGGTATTATTGAGATTGAGAACCCTAATTTGGTGAAGCCGAAGACCTTGAAAGCTAAAGATGTTGATGTAAGATGTACAATGTATAAGTGGTTGTAAAAGTAATTAAGTTATTTGGTAAAAATACTAAGTATGTGATCTTATGTTTTTTTGCAGATTGAGAAAACGACTGAACTCTCAAGACGCGAGAGGTTCGTTTAATCCTTGTTTACTTAGTTAAACAAGGTTTTTAATTAAATAAATCATCCAGAAAACTTCCCCCCCTTCTCTTTCTCTATCTTCCTATGTTTAAGTAGGCAAAGCATATAGAGTAGTAAAATTGAAACAAAGGTATGGGAAGATTGTAATTGTCTTGGCATCTGATTATCAAAAATATTATTTCTATTATCTCTGCATATGATTTAATTTTCTGTCTCACATCAGCACTTGTTGGGTTAAGGGTTGTTAATGTCTCTAGTTCTCAACCTTTTCTTTTTACTTATATCAGCTGGTTATTATTTTTTTTTCCTTTGTTAACTGTAGTCTCCTACTTTTACATTTATTAGGGGGAAAAAAAAAGAAGGTATTCTTCACTTTTTTTCTGCAGTTTGGCTGCAATCTATCCCATCCTGGCAAATTATCAGCATTGCCTTTTATTTTCTCACTACTCATATACCTTAAAATTGTTCTGTTTCAACTAGTGTCAAATCAAAGCTATCCGTGGTTCCACCCTAACTTGAGCATCTGCTTGAGTAACTCATTATGGTAACCACATAAATGACAAATCTTTACATCTATTGTTAGGAGGCCTATAAGTCTATGACTAAGAGTGTAAATCTTATGATCAAGTTGCATGACAGGACGCAAATGCATAGGTTCATTAGTAGAAAATTTAGATGCAGTAGTTGGATGTAATTTGTGCTAGGGCTTTTTAGAAGAGCTGAAAACCCCTTTTAGATAAACATAGAAGTTTCATCAAAGAGGGGGTATTGATTGGTGTAGTGGTAAATGCTTGAGTTCCCGTGTATGAAAATATGGTTTTGAATTGAAAAATGTAGTCCCTGCCCACAAATATTACAGAGGTTAGGCTTGTAGCCACTCTTAGTCCTTCCCTATGCCCTTAATTTGTAGGAGTCCCATTAGGTAATGCCCTTTAAGGATAATATTGGAATGAATTGGAATAGTACATTGCCATGCCAACTGCCTTTTACCATTTAACAGCCATTAAAAAGATTCTCGATTGTTGGTTTTGTTTAGAGTTTCATTGCCATGGCCAACTGTGCCTTGGTCTCTCTTTTAGTGAGAGAGGATTGTTCTTTCTGCTTGTCTTATTCAGTTTCTGGGGGAGTTGTATAACAGTTTTCAAATTGAAAGAGGTCAATTTGAGTGGCTTACATAACCAAACTGTTTCTTCAACAGTTGAGGGTAGTGGTTGGAAGAGAAATGTAAGGTTTTCTATTTGTCATATTGATTTAGGGAGTGGGGGCCAAACGGGGTTTGGTTTGGTTGGGGTTCTGATCAAAATTTGGCTTCTACTAAATCTTTTTTGTTTTGCATATAGTAGGGCACCGAAACAAACCATTCAAAGCATGTAATCAAGCCAAACTGTTGTGTTTTGAGATGGCTTGATTGAGGCAGTTTAGTCGGTTGGTCTATGAATGACAAATACAATTACGTAGATTCATACACAAATTGTAGAGAAATAGGATAACCCAACACTGGCTGACCATAGCCGTAGCCAGCGAAAATTGATTTCATTACAAGTTTGAGCTCATCACACCCATCAACTACACACTCCCAATGCACAATGAATTTGGGTAGAACTAGTTACAGAAGATGCTCATGTTGTATCCCATTGTTGTGGTTGTGAGCCCAATGGGCGAAATCCATCTGCTAGAGACTGTAGAAAGTTACTAAAAGGGTGGTCAATATAATTATGCCAAACTTTTGGGGCTAACTGTATTTTTCTCAAATCTCACAGGAGGTGAGTGTAATTTACCCTAAATTATTAGACCTCTGAACTTTTTCTTTTATACTCAATTCTCAAAAGTATGAAAGTAAACTGCTCATATCCCATCAAAATAACACAGTAATTTTGGATTGCATGGCTGCCATTATATGACCTTTTGACTTTTTGGATTTGTGTCTTTTATATATATATATATATTTGTTCACAGAGAAGAGATAGAGAAACAGAAAGCTCATGAAAGATACATGAGGATGCAAGAACAAGGGAAAACAGAACAGGCAAGGAAAGATTTAGGTATGGCATTATTAATAATTCAATCTTATGTTACCCCTAGTTGCATATTGGATTTTCTGCTTAGCTTATATTGTGGTTTTGCATGTTGTCTATTTCATGAAAAGTTTGTACACAGGCAGGAGCATCTTGTTAACCCTTATTTATTTATTTTTAAATTAATTGATTAGTACACTTGTTTGAGATTTCAACATTGATGATTAATTGCTTTTATACATTTTACTTTTAGTATGCAGTTAACCCTACAGTTTGAGGTAAATTTCGTACATTTGGAGCTGTAGATATCTCATTGAAGTTTTGGTTGTACTTGAACAATTAGTCAGCTATTTTTTAACTGGTAGGTTGATTGACAGTCTTGCTCTCTCCACACCTTGCTTTAGCGAGAGCTTCATGCATTGGGTCACCATTTTTTAAGGTTGATTGATCCCCTGTTCTGCTTGAAAGGCAGGAAACTGGTCACAGATTTGGTAAATGAAAACAAAGAGGATGTAGTTTGTGAGTGGGGAAGTTTGAGGTTAGTTTTGTGAGTAAAAAGTAGCACAGAACATTGGGGCATGTATATGTTAGGTTTTCTCCGTCAATCATTTAAGGAGCTTTGGATTGGAGATCCTTTTAATAAGAATACTATTGTGCTGGAGCTTTGGAACCCAACGTAGCAGTTTGTTGAACAAGTTGAAATTTGAGGACCTAATATTCATTTGGTCATAAGGATTTGGCAACTATGAGATACTAGTATTTGTGTTAGATTTTAAGAAGTCTAAAATTTCGTTTGGATGCTTGTGAGGTCTAGTTCCAAAAGAGTTTGACCACTGCTTATTTAGCATGGCATCTTGTGAGATTGTGAAGCCTAAGATTTATAAGCCTAACATTTTGTGTTTGTGATGCTGGTGGTGATTGAAAAGGGTAAAAGTTTAAAGGCTGGCTCTACCATCTGATATATAGGAAAAAGTTCTGTCAGGACTGTGGTTAGGAGACAAGGTATTGTGGGCTTGATATTGTGTTAAATGTTAGGTGCCTCTCTTGATTGGTAGCTTGGGTGTTGGACACTTGTTGACTAGTCACCCGCTTCTCTTGATTGGAGACTTGCTAAAAAGTTTTATGTATGTTGCCCAGGAAATATATGAAAGTATAGGAGCTTGCACATTTTTCCTTGAGGTATTTGTAGTACAGTTTTATGAAGATATTATTGGAATCATGGAGTTTCATAAATCAATAGAGAAACAGCACATATGCCTACTATATACATTTCTTTTTCTATCCTTTTTGAACTTTTTTCTTCTGATATGAGACAACATTTGATTTTTTTCCATTCAAAAAATTTTCAATTTCGTCAATACTCCCGTACATTCCAACATCATATTCTTGACTCTGGTTTTGTAGAGCGATTGGCTCTTATACGACAGCAAAGGGCAGAGGCTGCCAAAAAAAGAGACGAAGAAAAAGCTGGTAATGTTCAGAGATTGGTGCACTGACTGCTTTGCCTTTAGTTTATCGGCATTTTATGACATAATGAAATTGATGTGTGAATTTCACTTGTTGCAGCCAAAGAACAAAAGAAGGTTGAAGCTCGCAAATAATCATGATGGCTGCAAAGAAATTTGTGTGAAAACTCCTTATGGTAGGACAAAAATATTTGCTCTTCTAGTTGTTTTTTTACAAACAAGGAACCATTATTATGCCCATGCTGCCAATTGTGAAAACTATTTTCCCCTACTTTTGTCTCAATATTTGACCATGTATTGTCTTTTATAGAAATAGAATTCAAAATACTTATGAAGTTTTTACCTTATCTATTCTATTATATAAAGCAAAGGCTTGACTTGGTGTTTATGTCAGTTTTTTTTTTTAATTCCTAAATATCCCTTGTAACTACCTCTGTATAACTACCTCTATATATCCACAAGAGCAGTTATGGACAAATGTATAATATACAGAGAGATTCACTACTGCCATGATCATTTTGATTGCACACGTCGTGTGCTTACCCTTGTAGTCTATACATAGATAAAGCAAAAGGGTCTTTGTAATGAAGAGCCTTCTAGGTGCTCCAAAACTTCAATACTAAAATTGTTGATTTTATAAAAAAAAATTGTTGATTTTTTTCTAATTTATAAAAGAAGATTAAAAAAGCTATTGGCTAATCTATTTAGTAAATTATTTAAAATTAATAATTATTCCTTAATTTATGATTTTCAAAAAGCATTATTTATGGCTTTTAAGAAGGAAATATTCAAGTTAATACTTTCTCAGACCTATTCTCTCCTATCCAAAAACCCTAGTCGTAACCATACATATCTTATGAAGAGCATGAAAAGCTCTTGGAGAGAAGACGCATGATCTATAGTGTCCATGGTGTATTCCCCTTGATCTCCCTTGCCATTCACTCCATAGATAAATATGTGTACACAGATTATATTTTATGTAAGTACATCTGATTTAAAATGTGCATTTACTTTGTTTTTTATATGCAAGTTTCCATTGATGTGCACAGTGATTTTTATGCAAGTTGGTGTATTTATGTGTATATCTATATAATAAAGCATAATAATTTTTGAAAATATTGCTCTAACACAATTGGTTAGAACGGTTGAGATTAACTCATCTACGTAATTGATGGTTGGATTTATTTGGATCAAAATAAATTTCTCGCTCAAAGTAACTTCTTAGCATCTTTCTCCCATCATTAATGTCCCATATCTCTCCTTCTCATAGCACGTTTTATTGGGCCCATTCTAAGGAATAGTTTAATGATTCAAATTGTTCACTTTTTAAAGTATATTAAGTATAAGTTGATTGGACATTAATTACTCTTTTTCTGGCCACATGACTAGATAGAGTTGATTGCTTTTATGGAAAAGCCAATGTTTGCATGGCTAGAAATGGTTCGATTTTGAAGTAAACTAAGACAAATTATTGGAATTAAACCAAACTGAATCAAGAAAATGTAGTTTACCATTTTTATAAATCTTGTCATCATTCATAACATGATCATAACTTGTTCAAACATCAATCAATATGTCATAATTTTACAAACAAAATTGTTTAAAATTAATTCTATCATTTTACAAGAACATACTTTAAAGGGTTAATAATTTATTAAAACATATGGGATATTAATAATGTATTCAAATGCTTACAATAAATAACAAATGATATGTGTATATATTATATTTGTATGGTACAATTTGGTTTCAAATCGGAATTATAACTATAAAACTAAGAATCCAATTGTGAAATATTATTCATCTACTTAAAAATCAATACCTAATCATGTATCGAGAAAATTAAATCAAATCATACAATTTGGTCTGAATCAAATCAATTTGCAATTTTTTCCCTTTTTTTTGCTCAGCTCTAGTTGAATTTAAATGTTGGACTAAAGTATTGCTCAGCTCTAATTGAACCCAAGCACTTTTGAACTCGTTTCTCAAAATCCAACTTCATGAAACAACCTTAATTTAAAAAATTCAAAAGAGGGGAAAGGGATTTCCTTCGCCGATGAGTGGTGTTATATCCCCTAATATATAGTCCATCTTTTGACCTCTAATAAGGTGGAAGAGAGAGAATAAAGAGAGGAGGCACAATGAGTGAAGAGTAAAATCTATTCTACTATCATTAGGGGTGAATTAAAGATGCGTAATTAGAACTCCCAAGCATTTCTCATTGTCTTATAGTTGAAAAATCGAAGCAAAATGGTTGAAATACTTATTGCTAAGCAGCATTGTAATTTGATAAATAAATTTATAAAAAAACATGAGTTTGGTCACCAAAAAAAAAAAAAAAAAAATCACATTCAAGTTAATACACTTTTGACCAATGAAAAATAAAAGTTAAAACAAACTAATGTATCGCTTCGATACTGATAAAAATTCACCACATTGTAGTTATGATCTATTCAATCCATTAATAATTCTTCATATTCAAGGTTAAACTCCATGTCACAGTGTATACGAAACTTTCAATATACACATATAGACAATTACAATCATTTTTAATTCCCTTGTCCTTTTACTTTGTAATTACAATATGAAATCAGGAAAGATTTACTTAATACATATAGTTCATGAATTAATTTGAAACCAAAAAATAAATAATCATGCATTCTATATATATAGCCTCGAGTATAGTCCCACTTTAAGCTTGGTTCAACATCTCTATATGCATTTTAGATCTGATTATTTCTTATTGCCAGTAGCACACCACCATAAATGCATGATGCTTGAAAAAGATCAAACGATCCATTTGCAAATCCAGTTGATCTTTCAAAGGGAACTATAGTCTCACAAACAAATATCTTTCAAATGGAACCATTTAATCTTTTCACGTTAAATAAATTCATTCTATCCATTACATACTCATTCTATCCATTACATTATACGCATACATATGTGTATGCATTTATAGTATTTAAAGAAGGAATGATAGTAAAAAGAAAAGGCTTTTTACGTTAGATACACGTTGTCTCCCAATTGTGCAATCCATGTCACCCACTTGTATATTCCATCACCTAACAGCCTGTAATTCAAGCGATGAAAATGAACAATAGAAGGGGGGGGGGAATCAGAGAAAATTTTAAAGAGGAGTGGAGAGTGGTATTTTAAGAAGAGCCATTTGAGGAAGTAGTGCTTACATACCGGCAAAGAGGAAAGACTAAGTGGGTGCAGTGGCTATGGGGCATGTCAACATCGTTAATTCCTCTGTATCAAACTTATAAACATCAACCCAACTTCGATTTTGGTGGCTGACGTTACATGAGAGAGAGAGAGAGAGAGAGAGAGAGAGAGAGAGAGAGAGAGAGAGAACTTAGCCATTCAAAAAGCACCCAAATGGTTGTTACTCCATAATTTTTCTAAATCTTCTTGTTGCTCCATAATGGCACATTAGGAACTACAAATTAAAAACTGAACTGATATTTGAACTGAACATCCAATGTCATCGCCTAGATGTTAACAAAGAAAATTTTGGAAGAAGAAATGATAAAGTTCACAAATTACAATTTAACGATCAACTTAATGATAAAAACTTAAATTCCGCAATTTAGGAAAGAGGGCAAAACTACCAGTTATGCCAAATCCACTTGGGAAAAAATAATAGTTCAAATATGATTCTGTGTTTAAGTAAAAAAAAATGTAATTAGCATAATCACGCTTGTATAAAAAATGTGATCTAATCAAAAACCCACAAATGAAACCAAATCAGTAGTAGAAAATGCTAAAAAAGTTATGATGAAATTCAGTCAACGATGGCAAGTACTCCAAAACCAAATTTCAGTCATCACCATAACATCTCACACCTCACACCTTCAATTCAACTTAAAAAAATAACAATTTTCTATTTTGAATTCCACACAAACTAAATCCAAAACCAAACTAGTATAAAAATTAAAAATTAAAAAGCAAATTGAGATTTAATTGAGAGAGGGAGGAAGTGAATCAACAACTATTAACAACTCTATTGAAATTGAAGCTCTATTCAAAATCACTTAATAACAAAGGTTACATGCAAAAACAAAATTAAAAGTCCCAAATGAGCAATACTCAACAAACAGCCCCATCCACAAAACTTTTTAGTTCAAACTTCCCAATTTCATTTGATTATTCAAGTAAAAATGATAAAATTTACAATGAAATCATGAAACTGTCCTATTTATACCCAAAAGATAGTATGTATTCATTTTACTATTACCCAATACTATTAATTTAACTGAATTGAATCAATCTGACAAAAATATGAGCTATTGCACTTTGTTTTTCTATGCATTTTGTTAGTTTCTTTAGACTAAGAATCAAACCATCTAATTCAATCAATCAATCAAAACCACACACATGCAGATGCCAAACTAATAATATAAAATTTAAGCTAAAGATGCACTGTTTTATGTCAATATCAATAACCTACCAATCAATAATACCAAGAACAAATAGAGATTAGATTCCACAATGAACATAGTTAAATCATTACACTATGAAGAAAAAAAAAAGAATTTGGAAATCAAATTAAAAGCATGCTAACAAATAGAAGGCTTCTCTGTTAAACCAACTAATAATGATGAAATTCTAAACAACCAATTAGAGGATTCTATATAAATAAGAATACGTTTGTTAATGAGATTAATCAAAAATTGAACTGGATGATATTAAAAATCCAAATAATTAAGTTATGAAATTCAAAACCAATTAATTGGAAAAAAAAATTTCAAATATTAATCATTAACACAACTTCTATAAGTAAATTGAAATTAAGTCATGAATTTGAATTTGAATAAAAACTTGAAATTAATCATTAATTTTGAAATCTTAGTAAATAAAAACTTCAACTCAACTTCTACAAGTATAAAACAAATTAAGTCATGAATTTACCTTTCATATCTATAACTCATGCCTCAACTTGAAATTGCTTCCATTAGTAAAGTTTCAAATTTCATGGAAATTGAATACATTTGTACCAATTAAAAAAACCAAAATTGTATTTAGATATAACTGAGATAGGGGGTGGTAGTGAGTGGGAATCATTTCATTATGAATCTTCAGCCTAAAACAAAATCCAAACACACGTGGGCTCAACTGGTGGTGTATAATGAGATTACAAATGTACATTAAATATTGGGGAGAAAAAACAAAGGTGAGAAAGGTTCAAATGAAAACCTCTTTGTACAATAATGCAATAACAACATACTAAAAATCCCAAAATCTCGTACTAATATACCAATAAAAGCATGAAATAACAACCCATTCACATGAAAAATATATCTAAAAATCTAAGTTTGGGTATTCACCACGAAAAAGTTATTGAACCCATTAAATATAAATCTTGAGAGAGAGAGAGAGAGA